ATATATATATATATATACATTAATGCTCACATATATAATGTAACATATTAATTTTTTTTGATAAAATAGAATTTACAGCATGCATGTTTACCTTTCGTACTTTCTATTTATTATATACGTTGATTAGAAAAAATAAAATAGTGAAGATTATAAGATTTATGTTTTATTTAGAATTTTTATTATCAATATATTTTAAAATAAATTATTTATATTAGATATTAAAAACATGTTTATATCATAAATAAATTAAACTTGATTTTTTCCTAAACTTTAACATATTATTTTTATATTTTTATTAGTGTTAGATTATTATAAAGTAAACTTTTAGAATTATAGTTCTAACCAAACATTTAAAAAAATACCTATAATAGATAAATAAGTCATACTTAGAATATATACTTTTAATGAAAGTTAAGCTCAAACCTGTTAAATTATAGTATAGCTTAGTGTGACCTAATTATTTTCATCTCTAATTGTAATCATAGATATAAAAACTTGTTGATACTATATATATATATATATATATATATATATATATATATTGTATGCAGCCGCGTTAAATCTTAGGGCCAACTATCTCACCCTTTGAGGTGCCTCTAAAGTAGCAAGGAGATTAATCACTGCTATCAGTAATAGATACTCCACGAACGAACAAAAAAAACAAAAGTATATATATATATATATATATATATATATATGTGTGTGTGTGTGTTGAGTATAAATATATAGCTTGTATTGGTTGTTTAACAAATGCTAATTTGAGTATGGATATATAATTACTAGACACGTTGGTATGATGATTTTGAAACATTAAAAAAGAGGTTACCAATGTAGTAGATATGATACAATCATGCACAAATGCTAGTGGAGCTTTGGTATTTCTAAAAAATTGTTTCAAAAATGTGAATTGTATGTTTATAAGAGTTCACAGGTGGCCTAAGCACTTAGCGGTCTTGCTGTATTGTGTTTCATGGTGAACAAGTGATCTGTGAGGGGTCAGGGGTGACAACGTGGTTTAGTTTGTATTGTGCATCACAATTTGTAAAAGGAAAGATAAATAGGTGAGAATGGATGGAGTATATACCGGACTACCAGTTGTTCTCATTGTCTTTCCTTAAAGATGTACCAATTTTGATAGGGAGACATGTGTTATGAGATCACATCCTCTTTTTTTTTAATCTTCCCTATGGATTATGAAAATACCATTTGGGGCCTAGTAATAATAATAGTTTTTTTTACTTATAAAAGAATATATTTTAGAAACTCTCCTACATTAATTTTAAAAAAAAATTAACTTTAACTCACACAGACTATTTTTATAAGATAAATGTATATCATTTTATTTTCTTATTCGATAAGTTTATCCAAATAAAACATCAATTCTGCATTTTCTACCTTTGTGAGACATTGATACCCCGTCAGATTCCCCTTTTTACAAAATTCGACGGATGAAATGGATAAAAAAAAGGCAATGATCAACATGAGGGTTAGAATTTAGAAACAATCATACTTTTGAGATAAAATGTGACTTCAAATGGAGCAGCTTACTTGAAATTTAATTTAATTTTTAATTTTCCTCAAAACACAATCAACGTCATTTGGAGTGTAATTAAGTGGCTTCAACACTAAACATTTAAGTGCACTCACTTCTATAACTCTATTTAGTGTTGAGAATTTAATTTCTTTTTAATGACCTGAAGATTACATTTTCAACCGCTCGGAAATTTTCTATCCACCTCATCTTCCCCTTTCTACCATTCTCGTTAGCGCTTTATTCCACCTTCACTCAATTACTAATTATGGAGTTACAGAAAAATGCACGAAGACAATAAAGCACTGCAAGAATGCCACTCCACCTTGCTGTCTTGTGTTGAATTTTTACTTATTTTATCTGGGTGTTGCAGATTTCATTTTTATATTAGTGAAGATAAAACAAGAATGCAAAAATTAGAAAGCATGAACCAAAGAACACATTAAACACAACGAGTTGCAGGATTTTCATGGTTGCAACTAGACTCCCTTAGTCAAAAGATAAAGAAAAAACGCGTACGATTCTCGAGAGGTAATCTTATTTCATGAAATTAATGTCAGAAGGGCCATAAAGGGAGAATAAAAAAATACGGCACTCACAACTACACGCACATTTAAATATATAAATAATTTTGAATTATATATATAGGATGGCGAGTTTGGGTACAATAAAATCAATTAATTTACCGTGTCAAAAATTTTCAACTTTTTATCCAATCATCTTACTCTGATATTCTATTCTACATCATTAGGTTAACTGTGAACCTCAAACGAGAGAAAATGAAATAAATAACATGTTATAAATTATATATATTATAAATAAAAAAACATTACTACGAACAGTAAAATCAGAAGCTGGAGTATATTAGCAGAGAATACATGAGGAAAGCAAGTAAGCTGGTTGGAAACCTTGCATCTTGATCTCGAAACTGGTGTGTATAACCCATTATGCAGCACCAACTTTCTGAGCTTTATATGGGCGATCACCTCTAGATTCATTCTCCCTAGAGCGACCATGTTTGCCCCCTCTACCATGCCTTCCTCCCCTGCAAAGAGGATATAATTAATAATAATAGTTCCAGCCTTTGACATAGGAAAAAGTAAAACCATATTGGTACGGTCAAACTCAAGGCATCATTGAATAAAGCCACGTACCTCCCATGCTTACTCTTAAAATCTCGGTGCTTGCCTTGATTACCGCGAAGCAGACCCCAGTATTCTTTTTCGGCCTCCCCTGAGATCATCATAAAACAAAAGTGGCACTCTCAGCTTAACCAATCCAATTTCACTGTCAGCAGATATCACTTTTATAATAATCTAAACAACTATACTCTCCAAATCCCTTTCCTCCTAGTAAAGTGGTTTTGTTCATCAAGTACCGTGTGTTTTTAATTTTAAATAAAGTGGAAGCTTATATCATCAGAAACTGATGATGAGAAATAACATTTTAAGCACATAGGATAGCTGCTAAGGGGGTGTTTGTTTTATAGACAAGTAGATTTGCAGTAATGTAATATTTCTGTATTTGTTACGAGTTTTGAGAAAACATTCCCAGATATTGTTCATTCCCAGTAATATTTTTTTATCATGTTTCCTGCATTTTTATTCCCATCGTGAGGGCACTGAGAAAGTAATATTCTCAAGAAAATATTGGAAGTTACATTCTAATATACTTGTAACTTCTTTTTCTAATTATTTTTATTTAAATTATTTCAAATTTAAAAAAACATTCCAAGGAATGTGATCTCCAGATATGTGATATGATACCTTAAATCAAACGTCCTCTATAGAAATAATTGAAGTAACACTAACCAGTCACTGGCTCTAGAGTAGCAATGTAATTCTTTACAACCAAGCCGCCCTTTTCTGAAATAACTGCAGCAGCACGAGCTTTCTGAGCAGCTTCAGTTTCTTCAAATCGGATGTATCCTGACTCTTCTCCAATCCTAAAATCAATGTACTAAACACGAAAACAATAATATTTAATCAATTCAGAAAGCTTGACTGTAGCAGACTTTTCAGTAGCAGGGATCTAGCCTACCATCAGGATGATCAAACAAAACTTTAAAATGAAAAGTATCCTCCTAAACAGGAATATAAAGTCCAGCCTCCAGGGGGGAGAGGTTGATGAGTTATAATAGATAGTTACAGCCCACAACCTCAAACAAACACTACCAGAAGGCATAAGTTCTACCAGCTAGAGGAAAGGGGAAACACAAGTACCTTCACTGTACCAAACTCCACAAAAACAGCCTTCAAATCCTCACGCGAGACAACATCCATATTGTCCTTGTAAGCAGCAGCAGAAAATTTTTCACCAGCTTGTCGATTCTTTTCTTCACCTTCAGTTATCTTTCCTCCTTTCATCTCATTGTTTTCTTCATTTCTGGTTTCCTTTCCTTCCTTATTTTCATTGTTTTCTTCACTCTCAGTTTCCTTTGCTTCCTTCATCTCATTGTTTTCTTCATTTTCAGTTTCCTTTGCTTCTTCCATCCCATTCTTTTCTTCACCATTGTCAACATTTTCTGTTACCTTTTGGTCATCTTCCCAAGAAGTAATTTCAGAGGGGGGCTTTTCATCCGCTTTTGAGACAACACTATTGTTATTGGCTTCTTGATCAACACCATTCTGTTCTGAAGGAATTTCATCTGAAATGCTCTTTAGTTTGAAGGCAATAATTAAGCCTTTAGGGTAGCTGATATGAATATGAATAAAAACTATCAGTTGGTATATATATTTTCATTAGGGAGATAAAAAAAATTGGCTGCTTCTTACTTTTCTTCTACATGTGAGTTATTTTGGTCATTTGAACCCACAGGTGGACGAGATTTTTTATAATCTTCTAATTCTTTTTCTCTCTCAGCATCAAAGTCCTTCCTGAATTGGGTAAATATAAGCATCAGAAACATCCATATATATATATATTATCAGACACTGCACATTAATGCATTTCTTTCTGAATGTCAGAAACACCAAAGTTCTCAACTATAGTATCACAAGCACAAGTTACAAGCAACAATGCACTGAATCTAAACTCTTCACAAAATGATGCGAACTTAAAGAAACTCCTTTTATTTGTATTTTTCACAAATATAGAGAATTAGTGTGCAATTCCTATTGCAATACTTTCTCTTACATATAGGAAACCATCCTTGCACATATTTTAGAAATTATTTTTATAAGCCAAAACTTGGACATTTTTTAATATAATTAATCCCAGTCCCAGGTAAAGGCATTGAAGGGCTATAAGAATTCTCTTACTTTGGTTTTAATTCTAACTCAGCCCCGGCATACACCAATTTTTCCTTCATAAGTTTTTCTACTTCCTCCTCTGAAGAGAACTCAACAAGGGCAGTGCCACAGAAGGACTTTTTGTCTCCAACATGATGGGGAATCCGGACACTATTAACCTGAAAAAATATATTTAAAATTATAAAAATTGGGGGGCTCAGACAAATTAGTTCGTAGTCATACTTAAAGACCCATCAGCTAAACAACACAGTTTCTCTACTCATTAAAAGTAATACATAATTTATAAATCTAAAGCACTAAAAAAATAAACAAACGTTGAAATAGTGACTTAAGTTCATGACTTAAGAAACTTCTCTTATGCAGATTTGACTCCAGTTGCCTCACACCATACATTGATAACTAAGGATAAGTATAGGAAACGTAATACATTTCAGCCAAAATATTTAGCAACTTAACATGATATGCAGGACTCCTGATGTCATTGTTACCTTGGCATATTGCCCAAAAAACTTCTCCACGTCTTCAAGCTTCAGGTCATATTCAAATGGTGATGCAGCAAGTGTTCTTATCTCCACCTGCTCAACCTCTTCTAGCTTCGGAAGTTCAGTTATCCTGCCAACTTTTTTTCCTGAAAAATAAATAGAAAAAGGAAAAAAAAGAAGATAGTATTAAACCGATCATTCTTTACTAAAGATACGATTAGCATCCAATAATCAATGGCAAAAGGCATTTTCACCCAATCAACCACAGATTTCACAGACCGACAAATATGATATTCAACTGACATCAATTCATCGTCCACTCACAAAACACAAAGTTTTCCAAAATAAATTTATTTATAAAAATATGCCTCCTCAACTATTCAACTCACTAGCCAAAATAGCTTAATAGAAAAACAAATAAAAAGTATATTCTGCAGCTGTTAATAAAAAAATGCACATTCTTAACAAAAGAATTGAACAAAAACGTAGAGAAATCGAGCAGAGGAAACTAACCATCTTCAGAGACCTTGAGTGAAGCCGCATTTCTCAAAGTCTGAGCAACAGCATTGACGGTATCTTCAGACACATCATCAGGCTTTACATCACCCAACTTAAGGTGCATTCGCATTCGATTAAAAGAGCAAATCAGAGCCAAACTAATCACTGTGTAGTCACAGTCAAGGCCAACAATGAAAACATGAAATTACTCGAGCAAAACTCCACAGTAACACAAAAAACAGTTAACACGAGAATGAAGAAAAAGGATACTGCCATCTTCGCTTTCGGTGATATTCTTCCTCATAAAACCATCGGTGAGAAGGTTGCTGTCGCTGAAATAAAATTCCACCTAAGAAAAGAAAAAAGTCGAAAATTGAATGATGAATGATCATAGGAAAATGAAAGCTGAAATAAAAACACGATCATGAAACGCACTTGTCGTATAACTTTCTTGGTTGTTTCTTCGTCTAACGATTGCGTTGCCATTGATGAGCGGAAGAGTGGTCGAGAGAGAAGAGAGGGTTTAGGGTTTTTGCTAAGTAACTCAAACTTCGGGCTTAGAATGTGGTGTGTGTACTTTTAAAAGCTCAACTTTGAAATAAAACGGAATAAGTGGGGAATAATAACTGAATAAGTGGGATTAGTGCTACGCAGCACGTAGTCGATTAACAGCTTACAGCGTCCACTTTTTTTTTTCAACTTCCTTTGATAATTTAGTTTATACAATATATAAATAAAAATTAAATAATGAAGAATTAAGAACTTAAAAATAAAAAATTAAATGTTAATTTTTTATGAATTAAAATAAAAAAATTAAGAATTATATTATATTTTCAGATAAATGTATAGTTTTAATTTTGTTATTTAATTGTTATTATAATTCAAATTATTTAATTGATTTATATTTTAATAATTATAAAAAAATAAAAGAAATTTCTATACAATCTATTAAATTTCTATGTTATTATCGTAATATTGTCAATCTTTGCTTTAGTATGCTACAAAAATCATAGTCAAGACTATTATCTATTATATAGATGTTCAAAATTAAGTATAGTGTCGTTTAACTTGAAGAAAAAGTTTGATATAGAGCCAAAAATCAGAGTGAAAATGTTCTACCAACATATTTTGTTGTAAATTAAAATAATATAAGACATGAATCAATAAATAAATATATATATATATATGCTAGCATATAATTTTGTGAAATTAAAAACTAATCTAGAACTATATTAAAAGTATAACAATATATAAATTTAATAATTTATAAACTTAACATGTACAAAATATAAGTTGTTACACTTGTAAAAGATAAAAGAAGAGTGAGTTAAGATAATCAGGGAAAAAATGAAATAAAAATATATTTGAAAAAAAAAATTTCTAAAATATACTTAAACTTAAAAAATAACTCCTAAAAATATTCTCGATAAAAAAATAATAAATAAATAAAATCTATTTTATATAAATGTTCTTGGCGTGAATTGTTTCATTTTCATAAACCATATGTCTCTATTTATTTTTACTCAATTAGTCTGTTAATCTTTTTAATGACATCGAAATCTAAATTTGATCCTTACTTTTTCATTAAATTTATTGTTTACTATTTTAATTGTACAACTTTATTTCATAGGTTAACTTGAACTAGGCCTGAGCACGGGGCGGGTTCGAACGGATTTGGGTAAAAAATATTTAGCCTAATTCAAACCGATCCAAAAAAAAAAATAGCCCATTTTTTACCGTAACAGTGTTTCGTGTTTATGGGGTTTGGATTTTCGGACCTCGGATTAACTGGATCGGATTAGTCGAATTGGGTCATAACCCGAGCTCACAACACGAAACAATCAACCCCCATTTGAGCTCAACACCCCCCATTTAAGCTCAACACCCAAGGCAAACGAAACAATCATTACCCACAACGAAAAATCCAATCTTGGACGAAAAACACAAAACTTCACTTCATCCAACAACACCCCACAATCTCTAAGTTGCCCACCGATAATGTCTGATCATACATTAAAAGGAAAAAAAATGTCATTGTTGGAACCGTTGCGTTAACATAAGATGGGTATTACATTACCCATTTGCAAATATTAAGGAATTTGTTAAAAGGGGAAAAAAAGTTTGGAAATTGTGGAAAACGATTGACACCCATTTTTTAGAAGAGAAATGTGGAGTACCTGGGAATGCGTTGGATTGTGGAGATGATGGCACAGTGTGGAAAATAGGGGTTGTTGTAAAGAGGGATGATCCTGACGGGACAGGCAGCAGTAGGGTTTCTAGTTCCTACTGGCGTGAGGAGAGGGTTTCGCGGTGCTTAGGGTTTCTACAACTTCTACTCTCACGGTGCTAGCTAATAAGTAATAACATACCTTTTAAATTTTAATTATTATGCGTCGGTCGGGTATGGATACCGACGGGTTCAAATATTTTAACCCGAACCCGACCAACAAAACCCATATTAAACTGAGTAAAACAACCCGTAAAATTGAAAATTCTGAAAAAAAATCGTCCGAACTAAAAAATAGACCAAGGTGTTCTTACCGGAAATCTGCTGTAGAGATGATCCTCCAAGTAAGATTGGTGAGCCTCCTTCGCTGGTACGCTTGATGCTCCAAGATGGGGGTGGTACCTGCAAAAGAGACTCTGATGCTAAAGTTAGTGTTTGTGGGTGTATGAGTCTCGTATAAGTAATGCACGTACCTTTGTGTGTATTAGGGTTTTGTTGGGCCTTGGGCCCGAGATCAGTTTATGACCTAATTGGATAGCGAGCCGATGTCGCCTAGCGCGTGTCCGAGGTCACTCCGCGCTGTGATGCCGAGCTCAAGCTCGGCATAGCGGTACGGATAGTACACTAACCCCCCAAGCTCCGAAGACCGTAGGTCGAGGAGTTAAGACCGAGCTCGACAAGGGGTCGTGACTTTTCGCGTACGCCTATTTGTCATGACGCCATGTGTCATAACCGTCACCTCGTTCCCATAACGCGTGGGCGGCGCGGTGACAAGATTGTATTTTTATTTGTTTGATGACGTGGCCTCTTTGGGCCGATGTGGTGTTCCGATGTCCATGTTTCATGGTCGGGCTGAGGAGCTTGACAATAATGAGCTTACTGCTTGGTTAGGCTGGTAAACCTTTGACCGAGTCAGCAGATTGGTGAGGGACAAGTCGGCAACTCGGCTGGCCAGTACACTTGCCCCCCAAGCACCGAGTGATGTAAGAGCAAAGGGGCTTCTGAGGAGTTCCCAAATTTGTTGTTTGAAGGTTCAAATTCGACCTTGTTAAGTAGATGTGATCTCAAGGTTCGGACTCGACCTTGGCATATCAAGGTTCGAACTCGACCTTGGTTAAGAAAATGTGATCTCAAGGTTCGGACTCGACCTTGGCATATCAAGGTTCGAACTCGACCTTGGTTAAGAAAATGTGATCTCAAGGTTCGGACTCGACCTTGGCATATCAAGGTTCGAACTCGACCTTGGCATCAAGGTTCGGATTCGACCTTGGCAACGTAATTTGTATTTGAAGGTTCGAACCCGACTTTAACATCAAGGTTCGAACTCGACCTTGGCAAGTCGTCATGGTTAATGTGCCAATACCGAAAATGTATGGGAATGGAGTTGCTTTGTTGATTTATTTCTGAGGGGTGCCTCGTTAAAACCTTCCTTGGCCAAAAACCTTTTTCTTTAGTGGGAAAAAAGGCTGAGGAGGAAAAAGAGTACATCCCCTGAATTTACAAGTTAAGAGAAATAAAATTCGAGGTGGGTGGAATTCCAAGTTCCAAATTTTCCTTTGGAGGGGTCTGTTCTTGCTTCTCCCCGTAATCGCCAAACAAGATTGCCAACTTTAAATGTTCGTGGCCTGACCTTGGTCTTGCTTTCCTTATGGTTTGTCGCGAATTGCCTTGCGAAACTCGGCATGCTCCTCCATCTGGATGTACCCTGCAGCGTGAGCTCGGAGCTCGTCCATGTCGGGAGGAGGTCGTCGGCAAAGGCTGTTGACGAAAGGTCCTGGCTTCAACGCCATGAGCATGGAGTGCAGTGCGACCTCGGGGTTTAAGTTGCGGATTTTGACGGAGATGCCAGCGAAGCGCTCCATGAATGCCCTTAATGGTTCGTCGTCGCCCTGTCTAAGGATGGCCAACGCGGAGGATGTGATGTGATGAGGTCGGCTCGTTGCGTATTGCGCTGTGAACTGTCTAACCAGGGTGCCGAAGCTGTGAATTGACTCGGCAAGTAGCTGGGTGTACCAGTTGAGCGCGGCCCCTTTGAGCGAGGTCGGAAATACCCTACACAGAGTAACATCGTTATTGGTGTAGAGGTTTACCTGTGTGGTGTACAGGTTGATGTGCTCGTCTGGGTCTGTCGTGCCGTCGTAGCGGTCAAGGTGGAGAGGCTTCCATCCGAGAGGGAATGGAGTCTCCATAATGCCATCCACAAAAAGGATGACGGCGGAAGGTTGGTTGATCCCTTGCGACATGAGTAGGAGCATTGCTGACCTCATGAGCCAATTTGTGTGTCGGTGCATGAGATCGATGTGTGGCAGGCTTTGGAGTCGGTGTCCTATGCGCTATTGGCGGTTGAGAAACGGAGTGCCCCTCTTCCTCGTTTAGGTGACTCGGTTGAGGGGGTTGATCAGAGGTGCGCCGTGGTAGCTGAGCGCGGATACGCTCATTCTCGGCGCGCAGCGCCGCTAGGTCTGCTTCATTGGCGGTTTGCATCGCGGCTAGGTCAGTTTCGTGCTTGGCACGCATGTTTTGCAGATCGGCGGTGTGTTGCTGCCGCATCTGCTCGACCTGCTCGATCAGCCTTCTCAATGCTGCTTCGTTGTCCATGGTAGTTGCGTGATCTAGGTCGTCTGTTGCGCGTCTGCTATGGCTTCTGGTAGAAACCATAAGAGTGGCCGATAAGAGCTGTCTTGATCGGCCCCACGGTGGGCGCCAAATGTTCTTACCGGAAATCTGCTGTAGAGATGATCCTCCGAGTAAGATTGGTGAGCCTCCTTCGCTGGTACGCTTGATGCTCCAAGATGGGGGTGGTACCTGCAAAAGAGACTCCGATGCTAAAGTTAGTGTTTATGGGTGTATGAGTCTCGTATAAGTAATGCACGTACCTTTGTGTGTATTAGGATTTTGTTGGGCCTTGGGCCCGAGATCAGTTTATGACCTAATTAGATAGCGAGCCGATGTCGCCTAGCGCGTGTCTGAGGTCACTCCGCGCTGTGATGCCGAGCTCAAGCTCGGCATAGCAGTACGGATAGTACACAAGGAAAACTTAGGTTTCGGGTGGTTCGAAACTTTCTGCTCACGCCTAACTTGAACTCTAAATTTAAACAAAAGTTCTACCATATCAATGGGAGTAACACTATCGAATATAATGGAATCAGAAAATAGGAAGTATTTATCTTATCCTATTACTTCATACATACATACCATAGTAGTCAATCCCGGATAGCGGAGCGGAGCGGTCGACCCTAAAAATGGGATAGCGGGATGACGCGGAGTGGGATAACCGCTATTTTAATATTAATTTATATATATATATATATATATAAAATAATTAAATATATATATATATATAAGCTAAAAAAACAAAAAAATAACTCTAAATTCATGCATTAAACATTTTTAATAATTAAAAGTTCATAGTACTCAAACAATACATAATATAAAATGTCTCCAAAACAAAATGCTAAATTAAAAAAATTTGTTGAATTAATTTTAATCAGAAGAAAAAATATGCTAAATTAAATTTAATCAGAAATTAAAAATAAAATTTGCTGAATTAAATTTAATTAGAAATTAAAAATAAAATCTACTTAATTAAATTTATTCAGAAATTAAAAATAAAACCTGTTGAATTAAATATAATCAAAAATCAAAAATAAAATCAGCTGAATTTAATTCAATCAGAAATTAAAAATAAAATTTGCTAAGTTAAATTTAATCAGAAATTAAAAATAAAATTTTCTGAATTAAATTTAATCAGAAATTAAAAATAAAATCAGCTGAATTAAATTTAATCAGAAATTAAAAATAAAATTTGCTAAATTAAATTTAATCAGAAATTAAAAATAAAATTTATTGAATTAAATTTAATAAAAAATTAAAAATAAAATTCTGTTGCATAAACTAAAAAGAGAGAAGACATAAGATTGGAAAGCAGACATGAGCGGAGGGAGGCGCGTCGAAGGTGGAGGCACATCAGAGCTGGAGTTCATCGTGGAACTAGAGGACTGCGCGTCCGCAATCATCCTCAACGAAGAAGAAACAATCGTTCGAGAGAGAGAGAAAGGAGAGGGAGTGCGAGAACTGAGAAGTGGTTCCGCGAAAGGGAGAGGGGAGCATTAGGGCACAAAAAGCCCAATTGAAAAGACAGACTTACTCTTAAAGAAGGGTATGTCGAAATCGCGCCGCGATTCCGCGATTTTTCGCCGCTCCACTCCACCATCAACGGCCGCGACACACATCCACCACGCGACAGCAGCAAGATTGCATGGTCAGGCTGCTCAGCTCTAGAGCGCCGCGATAGCAGCCGCTCCGCCCTCTATTAACTACTATGATACATACACACACGTATCTCGGTCATTATTGTATGGAACTGTAAATATGTCTCTAAAATGTAATCGTGTAACCATTTTAACCTCTTAATCAAAATTGATACTTGAACTTACAAATGAAGCTTTCAAACAAACAAAATATCATCGTGCTGTTTCACGAGTTTATCGTACCATGAAGAAGCTTACAGACGGTAGCAGATATTACAGCGCTTGCACGTTTGTTTATATGCAAATCTTACAATATATGGTTTCACCAAATAGGTGTTCCATCATTAGTCTTAATATCAACAAGTTTGTTATAGAGACTCGGAAATAGTTCCAATCAGGTAGTATTATTCATTGTAAAAGGAGCTACTAGAGTTCTCACAACAAAGGAATGCGTAAACCAGAGCCTAGGACTCTACAGAGATACTCCCCTAACCATCACAATAAGAAATGTCCAAAAACTAAATATTCTCTTCCTTCCCAGCTGCTTCTAAAACCCTGCTGCTTAACAGAATCTCACCCTGTGGGTCAGTAACTCTCCCCTGACCCTATTTTCTTCCTTCGGGAGTATACCCTCCATATTATGGGCCTTTTTGGACTCAAGTCCAGCACTTTATCCATTTGCTGCTCTTATCTGATTTTGGGCCCAAGAGTCTTATCAGTCTGCCAGTACCATAAACACTACATGATGTCCCCAATAATTTCTCAACCAGTGAACATCAAACAAAAAAGTGCAACAAAATTCATTCAAAACAGGACAAGCGTAACCTACCATGACAGATATACCAAGTCATTTCAGTTTTTGACTCGACTGAGAACATTAAAATGGAAAAAAAGTCTCAAACAATGTCATCGATAAGGTACATTGGCCTTACCAGGAACACGGTCCAATCACTACATCTCCCCCCCACCCCCCTCTTTTCCCCCCATCCCTCAATCATAATTGTGTACACACTACTTGGTTTCCTCAACCAAGATAATGCAGCTTCAAATTCCAGTAGTAGGGTTATTTAATCGATATAAATCTTCCAGGTAGCAAGTTGGCCACCAGTCATCTGCCTATAACCCAATGATCAAATGATTACATGAAATCTTCCTCCAGTTCCTGCAAGGATTTGCTTCCTGATGCAATATCTTTGTTGGATGTCATGTTTTCTGCGACCATCAAACCCTTGTAGCTCCTAAGTTCCGCTTGTCTTTCCTTTTCAAGTCTTTCCATTTCCTCACGGCGTTTCTGGATGGAGAAACATGTAGGTAAATAATATATAAAAACGTTTTCACATTTATTCAGGCATTCTGTCATGCAGATTGAACAATAAACCAAGCAAGAAGACACGAAGATGAGTTATCAATTAAAGCGCACTAATTAAATTTCACATATGCTAAACCTCAAAGTGAACCTTTCATTTTTATCATACAAATTTGGCAGTCAGTCATCCCAGAAACCTTGGATTAGATCCTCTAATTCTTAACCAAGTTCACAAACAGAAAATACTTAAGGGTAACAAGGTACAAAGTGACTCCAAGCAAAATTATTACAATCTTATGCTTCATGATTTGATAACATTTGGCAATCTGTGCATTTCTATCATCAATGATCATACAATTCAACAATTCGTTTCTTTTTACTCTTTCCACCATTACTCACAAAAAAAATTAAAAAGTCATAAACTTAATTGTTAAATGAAAGGAATTGAAGGAACATTTCTAAACTAATCCTATTTGATTATTCCACTACTTTATTTGTCCCTCACCCATTCAATGCATGCACTCTAATTGGTTAACTTAATTGCTTCGTTTCCATTCTTCAATGACAATGGTTTCACAAACTTAGATATAACTAATAATTTTGTTCTATAAGGCTTATGGTTAAATAGTTTAATTTCTTTGTAGTTGAAATTTTTTACGTAGAGCACTATATATCATCTATATAATATGATATATTTGAAGTATTTTATCATTGTCACTGAATCTTAAGATTCGATATAAATTATGGTTCATTATCAACCTGATGCTACACAATATGAATCTTGATTTGCTAATCTTGACTCAAAGAACTCAAGCAGTGGATGAGGTCAAACTAGAAGAAAAAATAGAAAACTATACAACATAATGGTATGCAACATGGTGGTTTATAAGTTCAATTTTGATGCTGCATCAGTATTAAAAATCTGTTGATATGATAACAAATCATCTAATGATATTAAATATACTAAAAAGTACATGAGGTGGATTGGATGGAAGTGAAAAACATTTTTGCAGTGACAATGCATCAAAATTAAAGTATACTATTAGATCCAAATCTATACAGCGCAATCTACTACTGAGCATAGATAACAAGGACATTGACAGCAATGAATAGGTTGTGCATGAATTAAGAAAAGAAAAAGAACAATCCAGCAGTACTCACCTTTTCTCTCAGTTGTTGTTTTCTCTCGGCTCTTTCAGCTGCATTAACTGCTTCTCGCTCAGCTGCAGCACATGTAACCATACATAAATAAGTCAAATCAAAATTGTAAGCATATTATGCTTGAGACAACATAATGATTAATGGGTAAATGGCTAGGTATGATAAGTGATAACCCAAAAAAAACATACTAATTCTATAATTATTAAGTACCTTTCAAATCAGGTTTCCTTTCCACTTTTGTCTTGTTTAGCCTGTTAACAATCTCATTTATCCGCTTCTCAACTCTCACAGTTCGAACCTAGAATGCATGAAAACCAGAAAGTGATACTAAAAAAATGGAACCTCAGGCATTCATCTACCCACCCACTGAAAAAAAAGGGCAAAAGATAAAGAACTGAAAAAACAGAAAGAATATGCAAAAAAAATCCAAGAGTAAAAAGATTCACCATTTTTGGGTTGTGAAAACCAACTTGACCAACGTCCATTGAAGCTGTTTTCTTTAAGTTAGACCAGGGAGTGTAAACAACATCAATATTGTTCACTTTATTTCCTGCCATGAATAAAGGACAAGGATAAGACACACAAAAAATTAGTAATTGGAAGGAAATATATGCATGTGAATTAATAACTGCAAACATATATGTATATTGAAACCTAGTAGGAGAGCTAGACTTTCAGACTTCTAAATGTAAACATAACTAAAGAAACCAAAATAAGGGTGACATGGCGTGCTATTTATAAGCTTTGCAAGGATACATAAAATTGGCATTTAAATCTAATAAACCAGAGAAATAATCAATCAGGTTTCTACCTTGAATTGAATTTGCTTTGACAAGCTGAGCACAATCTTCCAGTAAACCCTCACTCATGCCATCAATAGTCTGGCCCCTGTGCAGCCTGACATAGACATGGGCTGAGGACATTTTATCAACATGGAACCTACAACACACATAAATTATCATTAAAGAACCTCAGAGAAAGCATAAATAATAGTCCAACTATCCAAGCAAACATCAAATCAAAACAAAATATAATGAAGCCATAATTCCAGGCAACGAACTTATCAAAAATGTATGAAGAAACTTATATCTTCCAGACACACATCACATCCCAAAAGTTGATTCGGTTGCTTCTTATATACGAAAACAACTCAACTTAGTCACACAAAATAAAGATAGAGTTCCTCTGACAACAGAATTGTTGAATCACAATTCTGAAGAAACCTACCTATTGCACAATAAGATTAACAACCGAATTAATAATTATTCACTTTTAGCTTTCTAAGCGGTTCAAAACACGAAACAACACGTAAACCCTTGCTAGGTGTCTGATAATAAAATAAAATGGCGTTCGAGACATAGGTCATACGTATAATGAGTCGATGCAGAGAAATTAGGGAATGGGAAGATAGAAAAATTAGGGTTACCAGATGTCTTCGGGAAAACCGTATTTGATGAGTTCCTCGTTCTCGAACTTGTCGAGGCCCATGAAGATGGTGTAATCGCCGGCTTCAGGGCGCGCTTTGAAGTAGAACACCATGGCGTTGCGTGGGCTTAACGCAGAGGAGAAGAAAGGGGGCTAGGGTTCTAGGACCTGTCCTTTCTTCGACACAATCAAAATTGGGGGATTGCTTTTGCTATCCGAATCGCTGCGTAAATCATAATCACGGACACCGAATCTTCCCTCTGCTCATTTATTAAAGCCAAATACGCCTTTTCGTGGGGTACAAATACAAAACCTGCTTCGCAATTTTTAGGTTTTAATAAAATGCAAACAAATTAAAAATAAATAAATAAATAAATAAAAAGTGTGTATATAATGTGAAATTTTATCTAAGGAATATATTTTTTTTTCACATTAGTTTTCACTTTTTTATATATTATTATATCTTTTTATTTAAAAAAAAATAAAAAAAATTAATCTTAAAAACTTAAAACTAATAAATTTATACTAATATTAATATATAAAGGAAATATCACTTTCAATAATTATTTTTAATTTTTATTTTTATATAAATCATTTTATTATTTATTTATTTTTAATAATTATTTATTTTATGAATAATTTTTTATTTATTTATTTTTTTAATACAATACAAACATGACGACGTGTCTTTTTTCTGCTAATATATATAAAAAATTAAAACTAATATATTATATAAAAAATTTATTTATACCCACATATAATTGTTTGTGGTTGAAATTGAGTTTGAAAACTACTGTGTTATAATCCATATATATATATATATATATATAGTCATATTTTATATACTCAAAACTGATAAAATAAAAAATTAATATGTATTCGAACATAATTTTACTATTGACAAAACATTATTATAAATTACAAATTAAAAGAGAAGAGGAAAATAATATATGCTCATAAAATTCATTCATGTGGAATCTTATATAAGTAAACTAATATGTATTCAATTATTAAATATAAAAATTAAAAGACAAATTATTACATATGTTTAATTATGAACGTCAATTGTAACGATTTGATAAATAGTTCATTGAGATAGATATATATAAATAATGCACTTCCTCTAAAAATGTATAATGTATAAGAAGTTTTATTTTCGTATGACTTGAAAAAATAAAAAATTATATATATATATATATATATATATATATATATAATTATGATATCAAATAAATCAGTAAAATCATCAAATTAATTAAAATATGACATGAATATCTTTCTTTCGTATTTTTTTTTATAAAAAGAAAAATAAAACAACTCCTCATATTTATAATTCCATAACTCAAATTAGATAATTTTCAAATAACTAAAAAGAAAATAAAGTCTTTATCTAATTTATTTCATTTATTGAGTGGTCTCTATCCTCTTTTCTTGCCCAGGTTAAAATAGTATGTATAAAATATTAGATTTTGGCATTAATTTTTATGCATTAAAAAAATATTTGAACGTTAACTTCGATAAATTTCTACTATTTAAATTGATATAAACTTTAAGTTGAAATAACCTGTTTCAATAAAATTGGCCTTTGTGGCCCAATCCAAAATATAATTCAATTAACAACGTCTTGTTTATATATTATTTTATAATGTATATTTGATATTTGATATTCCGAAGTGTTCCCTACACTTAATTCAGTTAGATGCTACAAAAATAAGAAGAAAAAAAACTTTATTCAGTTGGAATCGATTTTGTATAGATATTGAAGTGATATATATAGTAAAGATGATACGGAAAAATAGTAGGCAAATATAACTTTTTGTGTTAATATTTTTTATTTTATTTTTAATAATGGAGGGCTAAAGTCCAAGACTAAAAACCTCAAAAAAAAACAAAAAACAAAAAAAAAACAAAAAAGACATAGCTAAAAGATCGACAAGTAAACCAATTTAGATCTACAAAAAAGGGAATTAATAAATATGGACACCCCTCAAGTAGAAAGCGTCATTTCTTAACAAGTTATTAACAATATGATTTGTTTATTAAAAAATACATTTACACATCACTTTATGATTATTTCCAATAATATTAACCACCTTATTTACTAAAAAAAATAGTCGGAGTAATGCTTATAGCATTCGCTATTTAAGAATTGGACTATCAAAGTAGAATCAGTTTCCACCAAGATAGGGCTTGCAAAATTCTTTTGTTGTATTATTTTGAGACCATGTGAATAATTCAAAGTTTAACTTGAACTACTAAGCAATATCCTAAATCACGAGAAAAGGTTACATCAAATCTCTCAAGATTATTTTGAATAATACTTTTATATGAAGCAAACTCATCACTCACAACACTATCACAATTTAATTTAAAACAAATCTAGAGGAGAAAATTTCCACCGAGTGAATTTACGGCCCTTCTTATAAATAACACTACAAACTTATGTATTGTCACTCTCAACTTTACAAATCTCATAAGCATAAGCTAGTATTTTATGTATATTATATATCAGGGTTAACACATATACAATATACATAAATCTTAGGTCTCATGATTTTATTTTTAATCATCACTTAAAATATTTTTTACTTATAAAAACTATAAATATGTTTATAAATTCATGTCCATCTTTATATTTAAAAAAATGAGACTTTAATTCATGTCCAAGGCTACAACAAAAGAGACTCTCCAATCATCCAAGGCTTGCGAGACATACCTGAGATTTATCACAATCCAGTCGCACGTATCATTAATACAAAAATTCAACGATCACTTGAGGGCAGTCACGCATGTGTAATAAGGTTTCGTCCTCCTTCAAACAAATGGGACATGCAGATAACACTGTCATGTCTCTATATATGAAACATAACAGAGTTTGTCATTAAACTTACAGGAACATCTCGCCACAAGAATGTTTTAACATGTTGTGGACCTTTGCAATCTCTAATATATCGGAAAACTTAGTGTGAGATGGGGTAGGCGGGGGTATGGGGATGATGTCATAGGCACTCTTCATATTGAAGGAACCATCTGATGAGGAATTTCAAGCCAAACAATCAGGTTCCTCATGCAAAGATGGAGCACATGCCCAGTGATAAGCTTCCAAATTACCCCAATAGGTAGTAGGTGCTTTATACGTTGTAGGTCACACTCATCATGTTCATTGACATATCTGGATATTATACATATTCACGTTCCTATGTTAGGACGGGTCCCGTAGCAATATTAACAATTGCTAGACAATTTGAGCCAAAAATCCAACCAAAACAAAACTCGAGAGCCATCACCTACCCTCCTGATGATATATATTCTGCTTCACCAAACCCTACATGTTACACATGCCTCTCCAAAAGTTGGAAGCATGAGGTTTCACCGTAATAATTATTTGGGATTTAACATACTATATTCCTCTTCTTATATTCAAATTTGGTTGATTTGCTGCTCTAAAACTCAATTATACATTAAAATAATATTTGATTAATAAAAATTACACTTTACGAATATAAATTAGTTTTTAATTATGAATTTTAAAATACTATACAAAATATGTTTATAGACAAAAAATATATATATTTAAATTTGGTTGTTGTCTTTATAAAATTTCATGCTCCAAGTTGATTTGCCAAAAAAATTAATATGTATAATTTTTTTTACTTTTAACATGTCATTCATTTGACTTTATATACATTAGGGCGAAAAAAGGTATTTCGTACCTATGCTAAAAGAAAAAATAAAAATGGTAAGTAATTTTGATAGAACAAATGATTATTTAAAAAATGTGACGGTGATTAAAAGATAACTTATAATGTTAAAAATATTTTTAAAATATATAAAAAAAAGTATATCCTCTTTATATACTAATATAAGAATAAATATTATTCTATTTTTAGCTGTATAAAAAAATTATTTATATATACATTAAATTATTAAATATTAGTATATTAAACATGTCAACTTTCTTGCCTTCAACCCAGTGGAGTCTGAGTTAGGCACAAAGTTAAAGCAAATTAGCAAATTATTAGTGGATTGAAGTTTGAATTATGAAACTTTATCTCTCATTTTTTTGGGAGCAAGTAGATTGACTTGATAAGTTGAATTCGCTTTATCACCTTGATAATAATGACCTGTAATCAGGGACGGATGGACTCGGTGCCTTGGTCTCCCTAACTTTTTTCGATTACAAAATTTTTAAATGTATTTCAATTAATTAATTTTATTTTGTATTTATAAAATTTTAACTAATTTTAATTAATTATGTATATTCAAAAAATTTTAAATATTTTTTTTATATCCTTTATTGTGGAGATAAAGGTTTTTTTTTTTAAAATAATATAATTTATTTTGTTTTAATAGACTTTTTCATTTTATAATTTTTTATTGTTATATTAAAGTTAAAGTTAAACATAATTGTATTTGCAACCAAATGGCTTTGTTAATATTCTTATTATACTTATTTATTAAATAAATGATATTTATTAACATTTGTAAATAATCTAAACTTAAGAAATTTATATAAAGGATAAAAAATTTAAACACAGACATATAACCTTTTATTTTATTTCTATCATTGATATATTCATATTCTCTTTCTTTTATTCTAATTTGTTTTCATTGTTTGTATGTAACATGTTTATTTCTAGTTTAGTAGATTCTTATGATTAATTAAATTTTTTCATTAAAAAATTTATGTAAGTATCAATTTTTACTATTTTTTTTAAGTTATAGATAATATGTGAAACTAATAATGAATATTTATACTATTGAGTCTCTAAAAAATTGTTTAATTTTCTTAATGTAAATTTTTTTGACATATATTGTTAAATTATTTTAAAAACACACAATTATAAATATTTTTATAATATTTAATATTTATATATTTATTAAATAAATTTTAATTAATTTTTAAAATTGTCATTCGACTCTCCCAACCTGCATGACTCTCCCCACGTCTTGATTTTCATTTTATTAGCTATTGATTAGAATCCTTTGTGTTTTTAGTTTAATCGTATTTGATATTGTACTATGAATTATTGTTAATTTGACATTAAATAATAAAAAAACATTGGAATTTAGATCAAGTACTTGCAGAAATTTAGAATAATTCAGCATCTAAAACAATGAATATTCGGAATAATTCAGCATCTGAATTTCCCTACATTGTACTATGAATTATTGTTAATTTGACATTAAATAATAAAAAAACATTGGAATTTAGATCAAGTACTTGCAGAAATTTAGAATAATTCAGCATCTAAAACAATGAATATTCGGAATAATTCAGCATCTGAATTTCCCCTACAAATCACTCCATGACTTGGCAATAATAAAATAAATGACATTTAACAAACGCGATTGAAACAGCCAAGGCTTGCCAAGAAACAAAAGTCAAATTAGGTGACCTCGGTTCTCAGCTTTGCTACGGAGCATGAATAATATAACGTGAATACGACAAAATAACCTTCCAAAATGTGTTATGACCCGTACTTGCAGAGATTCTCAAAGCCCATGTATTCATGATTTTGGATCTTGTGTACCATATTTACAATGCCAACTCCACCTAACACGTGAGTGAAAAAAAAACGTTAATACACGTGAGCCTTGTATTTATCCAAAAATCAAAACAAGAAAGTTGAGAAACCCACCTAATGAGATTGCACTGACAAATATTGTAGAGGCTAGAATAAATATGATAAGAGATGCTCTCCCAAATAGGATGATCAGTTTCCTCACAATATGCTGTCCAACGAATGCAGCAACAGTAGCCACAAGGGTGAAGTAAACAGCTGGAGCAACAATTATCAAAACACAGCTTAATTAGTGGCAATCAAATAACTAATTGAATCATAATTATTTGGACAGAGTGTACATAGTTAACTAGAAGTTCTCATGCACGAACCATAAGGGACTGGAAAACGTTTTAGCAAGTAGTATTCTATAACAGACATAGATGAGGAAAAGGTCATGGCAAAGGTGGCTGTGGCACTTGACACCTGCACACAAGAGGGTAAATATTGTTAGTAGCAGAACTTCAACTTCTACACCTTGCTTCCCCTCCAAGAACCAAATGCAAAGTAATTCTACACTCAAATACTGGATGATTTCAATTTTCTCACAAAACCATGAGTGAAATAAGTAAATAATATCATAGAAGAAGAGATTGTGGCCTAGTACTAGAGTCAGAGAGTAATATATACAAATTTTAAGTTGGAACAGTATTATCGTCACCTCATACAAACACTAATTCATGCAGAATTGGTTTCTATGCTATGGGAAGCAAATATTTGATACTGACCTGAGGTGGGACTCCCAACTCTAGAAAAAGCGGACCCATAACAAATCCTCCTCCTAGTCCCAACAAGCCACCAACTAAACCAGCAAGTATACCAAAGACACAATAGATCACTAGCTGAAGAACAGTAAAATCTTTCCCTTCATCTCCCGTGGAAGCAATTACTCTACGTCCACTGAACAATGCAGCTGCCTCATATGCAGTTACCCCAATTGAGATTGGAACCTGCATGATACATATATAGAAAACATGCTTCAAAGTTCAAACGGTTTCCAAATATTATTGTAACAGGCACTCAGATCTACTTTTAACATAAGCACTATGTCATGTCATGAGCAATCAATAAAAGCAAACACTTATGAGAATAACCAAATTACCTGTAACAAGTTCAGTACCCAATATAACGTTGAACAAGTACTCGTGTAGGTTTCCTGTCAATGGGAGATTATTGGTCTCGAGTTAGATAAACTTGATGGTGTGAATTATTACTTGGCAGTAGATATGAAAAAGCAAACCTTGACAATCTGTAGTACAAGGAATGAAACCCAAACAAATACAAGAAGTCCAAATTCCTTCCAGTATACATTTTCAAGAATAGTCACCTGCAAAATCCTCATTGTTAGATAATGAAAATCACCCTATGCACATGAACTCACTAGAGGAGAGAATAATGACCTTATTTTTCTTTGTGTCCTTTTCAGTGCCACTATTTGGTCCAGTTGGAAGAGGTTTGTACTCCACTTCAGTCCCGGAACCTACCAAAAGGAAAGTTGCATGTTCTTTATCATCATAAAGAAATTGATCCGCAAAACTTTAATATGATTTATTGTGTTAATCAATAGTCTAAGCTCACCGTTTAACTCTTGTCGCCTTGCGATCTCCTACATTGAAACAAAATGTGTTCAGACAGTTAGCCATAAATTCTAGATTGAATACCAAAACACACATCATTACACAATTAACAAGAAAACCTTCATAAGTGATCTTCTATGGTCAATATATTCAAAGACACACCAAAACATTACTTTCTTACAGTTAAATAATATGGAATCTGTTGTTTGCTATGGTAAAATGTCAGTGCTAAATATGCAAAGAAAACAATAAACATGATTAATTAAAGAAGACCTTTTTCATTATGGTTTCCTTTTTCCATGTTTCAACTCCCTTAAAGAATGCTTTTGTTGATGTGCCTGAAAGACAGTAAAATCAATAAGAAGTGTAGCAAAACGAAGAATGACTAAATGAAAGCAAAGTTACAATGATCGTTACCTAAAAAAAGAACAATAAGCAATATAGTGACTATCCAATCAGGAAATACAACGTTGAAAACCACTCCAATGCTGATGCCAAGCATGAGCATTGGTTGAATGAGAAGTGCCAAATCATAGTCGATGATTGGCATATTCAACGTTGGATGCCTTAACTTAAGGTTGTAGTACACAGTTGACACAGCTGCACCCATGATCATGCCTGTCACAAACATAACACTTGATTACTAAAGGTGGTAAAAAAGTTTAGAAATATAGATGACTACGTATTTTTCAATTTAATTGAAGAAGAAACAAAATAAAATAAAATCATTTATGAAAGCAATCTTTTTTCTTTTTCATTTTTCTCTCTATCTTTCCAAGCATAAGATTATGCCCGAGAATATTGTGCTAGTTCTTTATGATGCTAGAATAGTTAATTTTGTTACTATCAGCTAAAGGGTTGGGTTTAAATAATGAAAAATATTATAGAAAAAGAAAATATTTATTTTATAAAAAAAAAATATAAGAGTGTGACAAGGAACTAATCTTACATTTTGAGATAGCTGTTGATGATTTTGCATCAAATCCAATGATTAAGCTAAGCATAGGAACGAATATGCCACCTCCGCCAACACCACCTACACTTCCAAACGCAGCACCACAAAACCCAACAAAAGTGCCCACAACAATTTGCCACCCAAATTTCATATCCTGCAAAAGTAACATCCAACATAACTTTTTCTTGGCACCTTATCCATGCAATCACAACAGAGATAATGACAATCAACCAACAAAGTCTATCCCAGAATGCGAACAAATCCATGACCAGCAACTTTTCAGCCTAATACTCTTTTCTATGTTCATTCTTTTCGAGATCCTACAAGTAATTTTACTCGGACAAAATTACTATAAACAAGTTTTTTGTTGTTGTTGTAAATATTCCATATTCAATTTACACAAGAGGGAAAAATTAAAAAAAAAATAAAATCAAGAAGACATAAATAAGAATTTATTTTTATTTAATTAATTAAAAAAAAGGCAATATTTTTCTTCCACTCTCTCTTTCATTTAAATTCCAAAATTTTCTTGAGTAAACTAGAAATTTTATTTTTAAAATATTACTTTCTCTCCAGTGGTTCATAAAGTAAAAAAAAAAAAAAAAGAAGTTAAATAATCCTAAAAAAATTGAAAATCATGTAAAGTACTACTCTCTAAATATTAATAAACTTTTGAACTTAATCTCTATTCTTTATTGAAATATATTAATTTGAAGACTAAATAATATTCCACGAATTACATAAATGCTTTTATTGAATAATAATATAGATGGTGAAATTAGTGGTGGATTCAAATTTCGTGTCTTCCCCATTGTTATTCCTCCGATCCAATCGAACCATCAATTTCCCAAAACATATCAATCAAACAAAGCGTAAAGAGAACACATAAAAAATAGTCAAATGAACTTATCCAAATCATAACTCCAAAGATAAATAAACAAAGCAAATAAACTCTTTGATTTTTCCCTTGCCTTTGGCTTAAAGTAATAAATTTTGACGAACCAAAAAAAAAGTAATAAATTTTCAACACGAAAGGAAGAGCTTACCGGCCACACGTGATGATAACCTGATTCCTCAGATTGCCATAAGAAATTCACAGCTCTTGTGAGAAAACTCTGTTCACGTTCTCGGGTAACATTGAATCTCGGCACTTCCATTCTCGTAATGCTCCTTTCCGCAGAAACGACCGCCAAAACCGATGCAAAACCGAACAACACCATCCATAAGGATCCCATTCTCGTTCCAAACTCGACCATAATGTTTTTTTTTTCCAACCCCGCTCTCTTTTTTTTTTTTTTTCAAAACAAAGATTAATAGAAACCTTGGAAATGTTTCACCTTGCGGTGATCAAATATCTTGTCTGGAAAGAACTGGGACAAGAAAGAGAAAAATGCGGTGTTGATGTTTGGGTGAAGGAACAAAGATGGTTTTTTCAGATGAAATGAATGAGCAACCTCCAAAGGAGTTCACTTTTGCGTGATTCAAATATTTAATAGAAATAAATAAATAAATAAAGGTTATTGGGTGGAAAATGAAAAACAAGATGGGAATGAAGAATGAAGAATGAGAAGAATTTGCAGAGAGTGGATTTGTGAGCAGCGAAGTGCGCGCTTGTTTATCCCTTCTCTTCTCCTCTCCTCTCGCGTGTGATATCTGAGTCATCTTTCTCATACTAGCTACCATTTATAAAGACACAAAATAATTGAGATTCACGATCTTAACAAATATATAAAAGTTAGACTTAATTACAAGTTTATTCTATTTTTTATTTATTTGTAATTTTCTTTTTTTTATTTAAAATATATAATATTTTTATATTTTATAAGATAAAAATTTAAATATTTCTATTTTAAAATAATAAAACTAAAATTATATATCGACAAAAACATATGATTTATGTTTAAAAAGTAAAATAATTTGTACATACAGACAAATAATGCAAAAAGGTTATACATTGTTGTCCAAGACATGTATGATAATTATAATAATTATTTTATATTCATTACATAACTGTATTTGGTTGAAGAGACTTTTTATGCTTAAAATCGTGATTTTTAATTAAAATTTATTTGTTTTTGTTGGTAATAAATATTTTTGAATTTTTTATATTATTAATTGAGGATCAACAAATTTTATCACATTCAATTAAGAAATAAAGTTATAGGATATATTTATTGTTGACTAAACTGTGATTTAAGTCACTATTTTTCAATCTATAATTTTTGTTTCTCTATTTTAAATAGAGTTATTTAATTTATATAATCTTAAAAATATAAAATATTATTCCTCATCAAATTAATATATATTAATTATTTAAATTTTAATATTTATTTATACTTGAATAATGTAATATTTATTTTATAAGTAATAAAATTTAATTTATAAATAATTATAATAAACAAAAATTAAATTAAAAAAGATTTAAAAATGTCTAAATATTATATTGTTTAAAAATAATTCATAAAAATATTTTCATAAAAGTTTGTATTTGATATATAATGATTAATTTTAAAATTAGATACTTATAAATAAATATTATATTTGAATATATAAATTATATTTAAAAATTATATAATTATATTTAAGATTTATTATCAATAATTTATATTATAGTATAATATTAATTTTATTTAACAATAATTTAATTTAAAAATATTGAAATTTAATTCATAAATAATTATGATAAATAAAAAATTAAAATCAAAAAAATCTCAAAAATCCTTTTATTTAAAAAAAAAAACTCCTAAAAAAGTGTTATCATGTTAAATAGAAATTTATATTTATTAAGAAACAATATTTTCTTATAGTATTTTTTAAATAATAAATTAAACATGAAAATTTAACAAATTCTCATGAATTAAATATGCTCCTAAAAAGTAATATTGACAATATTTTTTATTGATTGACAAAAAAAAATTATATATACATGCTAATACATATAAAAATTATATTATTTGACATTATTTATTGATTATTGTTCTTTAAATAAAAGAATCAAAACACATTAAGTATTTACTAATTATTTTAACATAGAGATATAATTCTTTTTTACTCAATCAATCTTTAGATAAAGTAATATATTAAGTCACATTTCATGAAAATCAATCTCCCATATTTTTAAGTTAAAAAACAAGAATGCTATTAACTTTAAATAAAATAAAATAAAATTGTAGTAACGTGTAATGTAGATGGCCCAGACTTAGATGGTCGTCAACTCGGCATGTAATAATTTAGCGTTTCGAACCTACTCGATCTAAAGTTACATTTCACGTGCCTTTTAAAAATGAATTATTATTGATTAAAAAATGTTATTATTATCACATATTTACTTTATCTTATATCTTATTTTCACTACTTTTTTTTTTAATTTCTCTGGTCATTTTCCATTATATCATTTATCAATTTCATCTTCTTTTTTTTTTTCTTAATAGGAATTCTCTTTTAAAAATAATTATAATATATTTTGAGAACAAATTTATATTATTTTTTATCATATCGCAAGTATGAAATATTTATTGAATTTTTTGAAATATGAATCATTAATAGATTTAAATATTTTTGAATCTCTATATTATAAAATGAGTTATTTTTTTAATTATGATTTTATGATTTTTTATTTTATTTTTCATCCCTTTAAAATTGAAATTATTGTTTTTAATCCTTAATATTTTGTAATCCTTTTTAATTATTGATATGTTTATCATATAGTTAAGTAATTATTCTTAGTGACTCCCACACTGTATTTAATATCATGTCAGTATGTGATATTTTTTTATTTTTTAATAAAATTTAAAATAAATACTTTTTAACTTAAAATAAAAATTAGAGATTAAAATTGTGACTTTTAAGTTTTATAGAAATGAAAATCAAAGAAAATTATTTTATAGAGATCAAAAATAATTATTCCAAAGTTTAGATGGATGAAAAATAAAAAAATAAATTATAAGAATTAAATCAAAACACACTTATTTTATAAAAAATAAATAAAAATATATTTAAACCTTAATCATTGTTAAAATAATAGCTGGTTACTTTTTTTTTTAGTAATATTCTCTTTTCATCTATTTTTTTTTCTATTCATATGTTGATGATTTAGAGTACACTTTTAGTTGTATCAAGTTAGTCAAGTATTGATGTTGTGTATTCATTTTTTTGTACCATAAAAAAGTTAGTTAAGTATTGTATTTTCTTTAAAAAATTTAATTTAAATAACTATATTAATGTTTTTTTATATTTAATAGGTAGTATTTTATTTAACATGGTATTATATTAATATTATTTATCTTAAAATATAGTATAAAATGTATCTTAATTATATTTTATAATTTAATGATTCATAATATTAAGATAATATATTATATTAACAAAACGAGTTAATTAAATATTGTTTCACATATTATAAAATTTCAATCACATTGGAGTCCGAAATCAAAATAAATAACCTTATTAGAATTTTAATAAACTATATAAACATAAGTTAATTTTGTCTCAACCTATATAACCCACAAAATAAAAGTAAATAGTAAATAATAATATACGAGCCAATCAACCCATCTAAAATTAGTCCGCGTTTGTTTGCAATTTCAAGTTTTCCTAATCAAAAAGCAATATAAACGAGGGATTAAGATCTTCAAAGGCAATATAAACGAAGAATTAAGATCATTGCCGTTCAAATTTCCCCAATAATTGATATACACTTTTAATTAAATAAAATAATTATAGAAAGATTCAACCGCATTAAACAATTTTTTTTATTCTTTTTGCACTGTAGAGGATCTATCCATAAAGGACCACTTTATTGATCAGTGCCTATGATTAAACAATTTATAAACTAACGAACCAATTATTAAAAAAAAATATGACAAAAAAGAAAAAATTACCTAAGTAGTAAAATACTAAACATTTTGGAAAAGTCTAGATTATGTCACAAAAATCTAACCAAAACACTAATATACGATACGTAATGTAAATAAAATATTAAAAATCATCAACAAATAACTAATAAAAAATCAAGATATTCAAATATTGAGAAAGAAAAAAGTCTTATACCCCAATTAAATAAAAGAAATATAGAGACGCACTCACTAACTCAAGATCCAAAGTATTTGACCAAAAACACGATAAAAACACTCGTGTGTTAAATGGAGTGGAATTTTGATTAGAGAAGACACAAATGGCGGAATAAGACTGAGACACCACCAATATTCGTACATCGTACTCGTCACTACATTCGGCTTTTCTCTTTCGGTGCCATACGACACTTACTACTAAATTTGACGTGACAACAATCCAAACACCTTGCTTCTTATCACCAAATATGTTACAAAATGAGTTGGGATATTTTCAGTTAATTTTTAATCAAGGACAAAATAGCTTTCAGATGATCATTGATTGAATGAATCCCAAATCAACACGCTTTTATACGATTAAAAAACATGGCATGGATCAAATCCACATCATCACGCGTTTATTCGATTAAACAACCACAAGGCTTTACTTTCTGGCCTATTATTGACAAATTGAATGTATATTTTTTTTAAGAACAAATAGAAAATGATTTTAAGATATATAATATTTATCTTTTCCTCTTTGTTTAAATCAAGAGGAAGTAAAGATTCTTCCCCTGGTAGTTTGAATTTTGAGGAATATTCAATTATTATTCACTCTTCCAACGTCATTAGTTGGTGGAATACGTAAGGAAAAAACAAAAATACCTTGCATGTTTTTTTTTTCTATTTTTTTTAGAATATATAATTGATAATTAACTGTTGCAAGGAATCATTATTGTTTTTTTTTAAATTATAAATATTTGACATTTCAGTAGCCTTCTCTTTTCTTCCCTCCCACGATGTGTTCTTACGTGGGACAAAATGAGCAATTAACTGACCTTTTGGAGACCAACATTGCAAGAGTCAATAAATAATTAGCATATTTAAATAAAAAATTGAAAGTTTGAAAATTAAATGCATAGTACCTCCATTGAAGATGAGAACAGTTCTCCTTTATAAAAATCATCAATGATTATTTCTTTTTATATAGGCATAATACACGTAATAGAAAAATTATTAAAATTCACAATTACTATAAATTTACAATCTCAACCAATCATTAAACATATACTCACAAAATATAATTTTTTTTGATGAAACATTACTTTAATACTTATAATAATTAATTTAAAGAGTATGATATTGTCCCTTATGTTTTATAATAGATCTTATGATCATTGTACATTACTAATGATTAATATAATAGTTTTCAAAAGTTTCAACTACTTATTTTCTTTTCAATATAAGTTACCAGACTTTACCGAACCAAACATAAATCCTTCGTCTTGTTCTTTTGAGCACGCTTTTAACGAAATTTATATGTTAAAATGATCTCTTACTGTTAAACACAGGAAATTTGTTTACGCTTATTCTAGACGACAAAGCTTGAATTGTTGGCAAATATATTATTCATATTGGGATGATAAGAATAAGAATAAAAGCTAACACAAGGGAGAGAGTATTATCTGATATTATAAAATTAACCTTAGTTTAGTTTACCAAATCAACAACGAGTTTTCTTTTTGAAACTACTGGGTCATCGAATTTCTCAGCTTATTCAAGCTTCACTAGCTTTATTGCAAGGAATGAATTGCCTTGATTTGTTACCTATGTG